GAGAAGATCAGAGAATACGGGCATAATTTAAACAAATTATTAAATTTCTGACCTACGGGTCAAATTAATTTGCAAAAAGAGATAGTTTTCATATTTTTGCATTAAAAGAACAACTTTACAATCTTTTATAATGAAAACGAAAGAAGAATCAGTTTTCGTAATGATCGGTGAAAATTCCAACTTTGTATGACATATCTTCTTCTTCTTCTTCTTCTTCTTCTTCTTCTTCTTCTTCTTCTTCTTCTTCTTCTTCTTCTTCTTCTTCTTCTTCTTCTTCTTCTTCTTCTTCTTCTTCTTCTTCTTCTTCTTCTTCTTCTTCTTCTTCTTCTTCTTCTTCTTCTTCTTCTTCTGATACATCGATCAACTTTTCGAATATCTTCCACAATATTTCTTCGTAAAGGAATATTTCTCAATCTTCTTTTCATACTCGACATAATAAGCGGCGTAGACGGCTCTTTCAAAAACTGAATTCAAATATGAAATTTCTCGAATATGAATTGATTGATAGTGACACAAACATGGATTATTCATAACATAAATCATAACGTAAAATCATCCGTAATATGTATAGATATATAATAAACATTTTTTCTACATTTTCGTACCTACAACGAGTGTCGAAATAGACATATCTTTGTAGAGGTTGTATAAACTATTACGAATCCTCGACATTAGTTGCGGAAAACGTTAACTCGTTTAATTCTATGTATTTCAAATGTATTAAATAATCCATTTTGTAATATTTATTATATCTAGACGTAGAACTATCCAACGACGTTTATGCAACGAGAATCGATGTCCATCGAGTTTATGCATTTCAACTTTCAACCGGTTACTGATACAAGTACCCAGGCCCATCATCTTGTTTTTCTATTGTCTGTTTCGTCTATTATTCTATTATTCAAATGGTTGAAAGCGGTTTGTCTTCGGGAAGGAGATCCAGTTTAACTCGCAACCGTTGATCTTTTCTTCCCCTCACCCTCGCCCCAACATGTTTCTCGTCCGTTACAATTTCTAGACAATCTGTGGCGGTTAGTTTCACGAATTCGAATAAAACTCCTGGAGAAATTCCTTCCATTCCGGCCTCAACGATTCAACCGTATGCCATGTACGAACAACAATTGTTATTCACCTTTTACAATTGTTTTCACGTCGACGACAATTAATAATTAAGTTTCAGAAAATGCGAATATCTCAGTAATTGGGCGCTCAAAATGAACCTCGTCAGTCTCAAATTATTCCCGAGGACTTAATGTATCGACCCAACACTGCAGAACCCCAGAATTAGTAAATTCATTTACACCTCTATGGAGCGACAACCCTAATTCCAACAGGTTTCGATCGCATTTGCACCGCTGAACGGGCATCACTTCTCTGAGTCACGCATTAGATTCGAAGTTTAAAGAACGTACATTAGTACTCTTTAACGGCTGGGAACCAGTAATTACAAGAACATTGTTGAAATTACATTTCTTTGCAACGGTTGACGCTGAATCTCGCCATGCGTAGTCCGGTTAGTTCACTTTGGACAACTCTTCCAACGCTATGCTGACAGCTTCCGTCTTGACCAACCACTCGATTTGTAGCTGAAAGAACGTAGATTAATCCCCTGTCATTGATAATAACAATAAACTACCAGAACGCTCTTAAAATCGCATTTAATCGCGGAATACCATTATTTTTTCGACCGGTGGCGCCACCCGTGGCAATTCACGCAAACTGCTAGCCAAATCATACCGACAGGTGAGTGAAAATTCCTAGCGATGGGAAAATGAGAATATCTTAGTAATTAAGCGCGCAAAATTAAGGTTGCTACTCTTAAATTATTCCACACGATTCAATGCGTCGACAAAATGCTGCAGAACCCCGTAATTAAACAAACTATTTCTACCAGTGTTGAGATATGATTATTTTGTAATGTTGACAGAAATAATTGTCCCGATTATGGGGTTCTGAGGTATTGGTTCGATGCACGGGATCATCAGGAGTAATTTAAGACTAACGGCGTTCATTGTAAGTGCCTAATTACTGAGATATTCCCGTTTTTTCATTATTAAAAATTTTCACTTACCTGTCGGTATGATTTGGCTAATAGTTTCGTCAATTTACCACGGGTGGCGCCACCGGTCGAAAAAATAATGGTATTCCGCGATTAAATGCGATTTTAACAGTGTTCTGGTCGTTTATTGTTATTCTCATTGACAGGGGATTGATCTACATTCTTTCAGCTTCAAACTGAATGCTTGATCAAGACGGAAGCTGTCAGCATAACGTTGGAAGAGTTGTCCAAAGTGAACTAACCGAGCTACGCATGACGAGATACAGTGTCAACCGTTGCAAAGAAATGTAATTTCCCACAATGTTCTTCTAATTAGTGGTTCCCAGCCGTTAGAGGGTACTAATGTACGTTCTTTAAACTTCGAATCTAATGCGTGACGAAGGAAAATGATGCCCTTTCAGCGGTGTTAATTGCGATCGAAATATGTTACCTATTATCGTTGCCGCTCCATAAGGGTCTGCGTTGATACAGGCATAAATATAATTTTACTAATTCTTGGGTTCTGTAGTATTAGGTCCATGTATTAAGCCCTTAGGAATAATTTCAGACTAACTACGTTTATTTCTAGCGCTTAATTACACCGAAGAGTAGTTGGCGCGCGGTATATTAGTATTTCTTAACAATTTGTATCTTAAAAAATGGCACCCAATTTGCTCTCTCGGAATCTAAAGATCCTCCCATCGCAAATATTATATTTAATAAGATATTCGCAAATAAAGAATTAGAAATTTGTTATCTGCAAAATAGATAGTCTTTTTACAAAACTATTATGGTATCAAAAATTTAACACGGTGTAAATATTTTAATTGCAGATACATATACGACATTCACAACATTTAAAACACGTGTCACGTATAAAATAACAAATTCGCGTATTTACCCACCTCTGCCTATAGGGCCTATAGGTGGATTGTAGACCCGACACAACTGTCATGTATGACGTCGTAACCTAGCTATGTATGTATGCAACAACATTATTTCAATTGCTCCTTGTTAATAAGTTGCTATTAAAATATCTGACCATTGAATATTATAAAACAGATCAGGAGCAATTTTTTGGTACCATCATATTTTTGTAAATGTGTTTCTCACGCGTAGTAGACACGTACTAATGAAGTACGTGGTTGTGCTTTAAATAGACGAATAGCATCTTATACTAACAGCTGGGGGTTTGGCGGCTCCTGTAATCCGGCTACTCGGAGGCTAGTTATGTAGGAGGGTCTTGAGATCACGGATTTAACTGTTGATGTTGGATTCACGTTGACTGGGCGTCCGCACTAAGCTCGCCATCAATATGGGCACCCTTGAGGAATCTTGGGTGGCCAGGTTGGCTAAGGAGTGGCGAACCGGGCCAGAGGGGAAACCCAGCAGCCAAAAGTCTCCGTGGCGGGCAGTAGTGGGATCGCGCCCGGGAGTGGACCGCATCAGCAGCTTGGTCGATATGACTCGACACATGACTTTTTTTCATTTTTTTTTCAATATTTTTAGCATTATTCTAGAACGTATTTCATTATATCTCAGACTCGTAATTTATTTTTCATTTTTTATTACTTGCATCGTGGTGTCATTCGAGCATCTCAAGCATAAGAGTACACGAATATCTTTTCTTTTCATTCTTCTCACACACAACACTTATGAAAATGTATATCTAAGATTTTTCTAAGAACACAGGATAAATCAAATTTAAAGTCGGATATGGAGGTAGGCGATCGTTAATAACTTTCGAAGGACATTTAAATTAGGTGCCGAATTACATGGCATTTTGGAATATTTTAAATAGTTCTCATCCACTTCAAAATACTTCGAATATTTTCAACAACTTTTAAACGCTCCTGTTCGAGGTACGAAATCGTATCATCTGTTCTGACCTGTCTTGCATACTCGATCAACTGGACCAATCTGATCCAACGTACGGAAAACACTCGCGTACGGATCAGTCCACGCCAAGCGAAACACATTTATATCCCATGCTTGGAATTTTGTTCAAAACGGCGTGGGGGGGATTTGGCAATTTTCACCGATCATTATGTAATTTATCTCCACAATTATTAAAGATACAAACTTCATATTTATTTTTTCAGATTTTTATATCGCCTTATTACATCAAAATGTAACAAAAATGAAATGAAAAATTAAAACCGTGTAAAAACTCGCATTACGTTTATAGATAACTGAAAATATATATATACATTTGCACGGCATGGTTCATAAGTATATGTATATATATACCTTTAAACCGAAGCATCGCATATTTTTTTGTTCCCGCCAAATCATATTAAATACACGTAACACGAACGTGATATATAATATACCATTTATGCTAATAATACCACAGATGAAATATAAGAATAGACCTACATGCGCACACTCACACACACGGGGTCTTTTACGTAGGCACCGAGGGTTCTATGACCCCGCTTTTCACTCAGACGGGGTCACTACGCATTCGCTGGGGTTACTATGACCCCTCTTACCAAGTTACTACACAGATTGATACTCACCATTCGATACGAGTACTTTTGTTCGATACCTACTTGGTATCGTAACCGCAGGTATCGATACCAAAAGTACTCGGTATCAAAACAAAAGTATCGAATAATGTACTCGTATTTACTTGTATCGATTCGTCCCTATCCATCGCTACATCTGTCCTTCAGTCTCGTTTCATCCCTACCATAAGACCGCACAGTCTATTATATATATATGACTATGCACAAAAATCGTAATCAGTCGTAATTAATGGTGCGCTAGCGTTCCAAGATATTGAGCTACGAAAATACATTAGATGTTAGATCTATCCTTATAATTGATCTATGGTCGTATCTTGAACGTTTTGCCTGGTTTTACCGTCGATGGCAGTCGATGGTACTACAAGTATTTTTAAGTACATAAACTTCTTGCTCATATAAAAACTTAGATCTTACTTGAAAACGCCGTAATTAACAATCCTTGTTAAGTAACTCTGCTTTTAAGCATTCCAATAAATAAACTGGCATCATTAAAACAAATGTTTAATCGTAGGTTTCGTTACTTTTTTAATATTTCTTACTGTAGGTATAGTTTTGCAAATGAAATAACTGAAACCACTGAAACGCACATGTAACGATTATTGACGATCAGTGACGATGTTGATCAATGTTGATTGCAGACCGTAACTTGAGTATGACACACGCGTCTTTGTGAATTTGCATTTTGATCGAACTGATGTGTGTACATATAGTTACATGTCTTTTAAAACTACAGTCAGGCAGTGATGTGGAAAATCTCGACACTGCAAACGTATATTACAAAATTTATATTTCGCTTTGTAGTGTGCAAAACCATTTGTTGACATTTACTGTGTCGAGCTTGAGAAATCGAAAAGAAAGTGGTCATGTCAATCGGTATGGACCGAGACACAGCTGAATTGTTGACAACCAAAGAAAAAGAGGAAGAAGAAGAAATGAAACGGGAACTTCTTGGTAATTAAATATTTTTTTAAAATACAAGTAACCTAACAATTTCTTGGACAATTATTTTCTAAAGATGTCCTTTTCAATTCTATTCTGGAACTTGTGAAAAATGCATTGATAATGTATAATTTATGCCATAAAACTTATTTAAGAAACTATTGACTATTTAAGCAAATTCACACAGTCTGACACTAATTTGCAAACACGGAAGCTAACCCATTTGAAACCGACGACCTAGCATATGCGTCGAGTCATGTATTACCTCTCCTGTGTAGCCGATGATTCAGTATATGAGACACATAAACATTGCTGACTGTTGGGGATAATCTTGCATTAATACAGTATGGTCCTGAATGTGTTGAGCAGAATTTTATTTTTGCTATTAAGTCTCGTTAAAATGAAAAGAAAGAAAAATAATAGGTCTCCATAATTTTGTTCATAATATTGACAGTCTGGTAATAATGCTAAAAAATGGTTTATTTCACAGACATGAAAATGTATGAGTCGTGGTATACGTACAAGGATATGAAACAAATTCTGGGCTTTATTAATGAATCCAAGGATATGGCAAATATGGTGAAAGATCAGAAAAATGTACAAAAGGTTGGTTCATCAATAATCTATGTATACTGTAATTTATTGTAAATCTTGTACAATGTTATAATTTTTAGGAATTATTAGAGACTTCTAACGAGTCTACCTCAGAACTGATGTCCAAGTCGAACCTGGCACACGAGTTAGAAATACAAGAGCATAATGATTTACCTAGATTAGTACATCCACATAGATCTAGCCATGCCCCTTCAATACTACTAGATCAAATACCTTCCCATAATCACAGCAGCCCTGAACTTGCGCCATCAAACACTGACTCAAGAAGCTCTGCGTACAGGAGCAAACATTTGGACATAGATGACATGTTTGATAGATTACACGACAATCTAAACACTAGAGACAGTTATGCTCATAGCCTGAACAGATACGTTTCTTTGAAATCGAAAAACTCTTTGCAAGATTCTCACAGTACACACAATGCAGAAACAAAGATGGATGTGCACATGGACAGCAACCGAAAATTGGAGAAATGGCAGATTAACCCGCTTGATTCGTGTGTCAATGAAAATGATGTGCCTTTACGGGAGCCGGAACGACCTGTGGTACCGGATCGAATGCCGTACAAATTATGGAAAGATCCGGAAACGTCTGAGACACTCGAGAAACTAGTGGTTGCATTAAACGTTCATTTGAAACAGACAGCAGAATTGTGGCATAGTTGGCATCGTACTGCTGATTCTAAGTTTCAGTGGGGGTCACCCATTCAGGTGGGTACCTCCGTTTCTTACAGATCGTATCGTTAACAGATATAACGAAATAATTTGTTTTTCATATAAGAAGTCGAAAGTATTCTCAGTACGATATTGTGCCATGGAGAATTAATTGTTACATTCTACTCGCATACGATCATCAACGTTGCGTTTCACGAATTGAAACTAAACCCGAAATGTTGGTGTTTTTAATACAGTTGATTTTTAACAGTCATCATTGATTTTCTCATTCGATTAATAATATGTAAACATTCGTTTCTATGGCATAAAGGATATTTAATGGTATCTTCTACAGTTAGAGAGTACGACCACTTGTGATGAAAATTAACTGATAGGACGGTGCATATGAAATGTCGGTTCTACTCGCTGGTATATTTCCTCACCTCTCGCCTCTACAAATGAAAATTATTAACAATGATTGTCACTATTTTTTCTTCTGACTTTAAGACTGTTTAAACACGACTTGAAATTCATGAAAGCAGATGATGGTTGTAGATAAAATTGAACTGAAATCTTCATGGACATTTATATTCCAATATTCAAATATAAATATCTACATATACAAAACTTTATAAAAGATTGTGTTACAAAACTATTGTCTATTAAAGAAATGATTCGGCACGGAAAACTTCAACTACATAATACTGAAAGTACTAATTTCAAGTTCAATCATTTATGTCCAAAAATTCAAGTGTTTAATAATAACACTGGTATGGACATATTTCTTATGAACAGGAAAAATCCGATATATCGTATGCACCTACCTAATAATTTATACTATATAAATAATTAAGCAAAATTTCGTTTATGATTTGAGTTTCACTTTATACAATAAGAGTAACGAAATCATTCGAGAAAAATGATATTAATACTTTATACACAGAACAATTGAGACTTGTGATCAGTGCTTCTGATAAAAAGTTGTAAAGATGGAATTTATACGGACATATGTATACATTAGTATTTATAAAGAAACAGTAATTGAAACTGTAAGCTACAAACCCATTTTTGAATAAATCGTATTTCTGTAAAAAAAAAAAAGGAGATGTGAATAGTTCTATCCCTTCATTCTATCTATCGCAATTCTAATCCTTTTTCAACATTTCTGTAGGTGGATCTTGCTAAAGGTAGTTGGGATAGAAAGTCATTAACAAACAGTAAAACTGAAGAGAATCGAATGGAATTACGTACAAGTGTATATAACAGTGAACGGCCTAATAAACGTAAATCAACCTTGGTTTTTTCTTCTCGCACGACACATTCCAGCAGCGACGAAGATGAAAAAATAGTTAAGAAAAAGAAGACACATTCTTATGAACGGCCAAGCAGAGTGTTACGATCTCATAAGGAAGTATGCGTTAACCCTGGCAAAAGAAATTTGCATTTAGACGATGACGATAGTACCCAAAATATTGGCAATGTAGAAACTTTGGGAATGGAACGCGAAAAACATGAAAGCGTGTCGCCTGTACTACTGTCTTCTCATTCAAGAAAAATCACACCTCCAAATACAAGGATGTGTATTAAAAAGAAAAAACATAACATTAGTATTCTTGCCAACGGCCCGTCGGAACATAACAGCGGCGAGAAGCAAAACGCTATAAGTTTAGATTCCAAAGAAAAATCGAGTATGCTCACGGATGAGGAAATTCTTTTAGAGTTGGAAAAAGATAATGTTGCGAATGATATTAAAAGAACGGAAAAATCGACGGAAATTAAACCGCTACCGCTGAGAGGACTTTCGCGTAGAATAAAGAATGAATGTATGATATTGGAAAAAATTCAAAAAGATAAACAGAAGAAGATAGAAGTCGAGAAAGAGGAAGCCCAAAGACGGGAGAACGAGGAGAAGAAGAAACGAGAGGAATTTTATAAAAAGCAAACAGAAGAGAGGCAGCAAAGGGAAAGGCTGAGAGAAAAACGAGAAATCTCCAGGGAGGAGAAAAGTAAAAGATGGAACAGTATAGTAAACATGAAAGCTCAAAGACGAGTCAGCGAGGAAAGTAGGGAAAACGTATGTGATTTACTTAAGCAGAATGAAAACGAGACGTTGCTTCTGGTAATATTATTTTCTTAACAATAGTTTACGTAACATTTCACAACAACTACTTACATACAATATGTATATGTATGTATGTATATCATATCATTCTTTCCTTATAGGACAACTCGTTGGTCACGGAAAAAGTGGAGATTACAAAAGATTATTCATCAAATAATGTAAGTTGTCCTATCTGTAATCAGTACTTTCCAAGTGATGTAATAGAAACGCATGCTGCCGGATGCGAGCAATACATAAGTGACGGTGAAGACGAGATGAACATTACTGTACATCGAAGTAAAACGTTACCGCTGCCGATGAATGCTGCAAACAATGAAGAAATTCTGGAATGTGGTGTCTGTTTAGAATATAAAACAACTAACAACGCACAATATGAACAACATGTTAAGAATTGCTTGCAGAAACGACAACAGGGAGAATCGTCTCCTGGTAAGATTCATACCATTCAAAGGGAAATTACGATAAGTGTACGTAGATTACAAATTAATTAATATTCATTTTTGTTTTTTTTTTTTTCAGAGTGTACAAGTACTGAAATAGATAATATCATTAATTCGCCAATCCGCTGTTACAGACCAATTAGTGAACAAGCTGATTCTGAAATAGATTACAGAAGACAATTTCCATCGAACAGCAGAACAAAAATACGTGCCACTAAAAAGAGGAAACATTAAAGAATTTTTATACCGAATGAACGCACAGATAGTGTGAAATCCGAATTCAAATGAATATCTTTTACGTTATTACTGTAACATTCCGCGTGTTTTGTGTGTTTCTGTGTTACAAAAATAATGTTGTTCCAGATTAAAATTAAAGTAACACTGTTATTTAAGCACGTTTGTTGCAAAAGAAAAAAGAAATAAAATATGAATGCTAAAGAATTGAAGTCTTGATAAGAAATATAAGTTATTATATAATTTATTTGTCAGATAACAATCAAAATTAATTAGAATGAGAGTACAGTCTATTTAATTGATTTAAAGAACAACGAGTTCTTTATTAAAAACAATACATAATATACGTTTACAAGAAAAAAAACGTATGCATAACAATACTAAGCATTTAATTCTCGCGAGTTTGAAATTTGTAATAGAATGTATTTTTATACAAATAAGCGTTCTTGTTTATGAATAAAATGCTATGTGTATTTATATGTGTTTGATCATTTATCATAATTTCTGATATTGGATACTTGAAGATTGATAAGAAAGAGACAAGCACAAATTTGTTCTATGTTATAATAACTCTTATCTATGTATATACGGATGCGACAGTTGTGTGTGTATATATATATATATACTATCCGTATGCATTTCTTAATAGTCATAACCTAATTTTATTAAAAAATAATTGTATTTTTTTGAATCAAAACATTATGATAATTTTCCAATTTTTGTTAACTACATTTTTATTAATTAACAGAACTGTTTTATCCATAACTTTAGACGGGTTTTGGACAGGTATTGTTACATATTCTCAACATTTTTATAAACGTCTTTCTTTAAACACGCAATATTAATATATACACTTATATTTTATTTTCTTACTTAGGTAAGATCACCACAAATAAGTCTGAACATGGTAAGATTTTTTATGGATAACTCTTCAATGAAGCAAATAATATAAACTATGTATACATAAGTAGGTAAATAAATATGTGCTTCAATAACTAATACTGTTTTTATAGAAATCGTATTCCCTGCGACAGTACCAGGAGGAGTGTACACGGATTTGTACAAAGCAAAGATTATACCAGACAATTTTGTTGGAAACAATGATGCGAATAACCGATGGATTGGTAATCAATCAGTCACCTATATTAAAAAGTTCATTGGTAATTAAACATTTCGTTATTATGCCTTTTAATGTAAAAATCTTTAAATGTCCCCACATAGTAATTTCATATTTCGAGAAAATGTTTAAAAGTATGTGTTTTCTAGTAAATAGCACTTTACTAAATGCTCCTAAAGTGGTACTAATATTTCATGGCTTGGATACATTTGCCACAATCACATTAAATGCTCAAGAAATCAAGAAAACGTCAAATATGTTTGTAAAGTATACATTTGACGTAACAAAGTATTTAAAAGTAAGCAATTTATTTCCTTATAAGTACTTAAGTGACAGCCATTGAGAAATATTCATTTTTCAGGAGGGAGAGAACTTGTTATCAGTTACCTTTTCTTCTGCTGTTAAAGAAGCTGAGGCTTTATACAAGGAACAAGCTTTGAAATACAAAGTCCCTCCACTATGTGTACCAAACACATATAATGGTGAATGTCACGTCAATCACATAAGAAAGATGCAAGCAAGTTTTTCATGGGATTGGGGTCCAGCTTTTCCTTCAATGGGAATATGGTATTTTAGTTTTTTTTACTGTGTCCGCCGTATAACTTGGACATATTATGTTAACGCAAAGATATTTCAGGAAAAGTGTAAAATTAATTCCCGTCAATGATATCTTTATCACTGACATTACAACAAACATTCTCAGAGAAAAAAACTTTTGGAATATCATAGTGACTACATTTCTTGAAGTCAATCTGCAGAAAAATGATAAATCTCTACCCTGTCGAATTTCATCTATTCTCCTTATCAATGAAGAACTAACTATTCACAATTCCAGTACTATTATATTAAACACAAGTAACACGAGCATAGAAGCAGTTACCCTCCTTAAAGTACCTGTGGTACGTTAATGATATCAACTTGTAGTAATTTATAAATAGTGAATTAACATGCATCTCCAATAAAAAATCGTATTTTCTAATAGGAACGTGTACAGAAATGGTGGCCAAATGGTTATGGCAATCAAACTCTCTACTCATTGACGGTGACTGCAGCTAGAAATAATACTATGAAACAAAAATCAGTGCGCATTGGTTTCAGAACCATAGAGCTTGTGCAAAAACCACTTAAGAAGGGACTGAGCTTTTACTTTCAAATAAATAACGTTCCAATATTTGCAAAGGGCAGTAATTACATTCCAGCCAGCGTGTTCCCTGAATTAAGCGGTAAAGAAGACACGATTAAACATTTATTAATGTCTGTCAAACTAGCGAATATGAATATGCTCAGGGTTTGGGGTGGTGGTCTTTATGAATCCGACTTATTTTATAACATGGCTGACGAATACGGAATCATGATTTGGCAAGATTTTATGTTCGCCTGCGGAATGTATCCAACATCGGGAAAATTTCTAAATTCTGTGAAGGAAGAAGTTATACAGAATGTACGGAGATTACAAAATCATCCCAGTATTGTCCTCTGGGCTGGTAACAATGAAAACGAAGCAGCCTTATACGGGGACTGGTATGGTACCGGTACTGCTCAAATATATAGAAACGATTATGTTAAGCTTTACGTAGATCTGATAAAAAAAGAAGTAGAACAGTTGGATACTTCCCGGCCTTTTGTGGTGTCTAGTCCCAGCAACGGATTATACACAGAGCAGTATAATTATACTGGAGAGGATCCATATTCAAAGTTATATGGAGACGGTAAACTACAATTCTCTCTTTGTTGAAATATTCAATTAATATCATAATAATATAATAGAACAAAAATATTGCAGTTCACTATTACAACTACCTTAACGATGGATGGGATATGCACCAATATCCTCTCACCAGATTTGCATCTGAATATGGATTCCAATCGCTACCATCGATTTACACCATTTTACCAGCTACAGAGAGTACTGAGGATTTGAACGTAGAGAGTAATTTTATGAAGCATCGCCAACATCTGCCCTTAGGAACGATATACATGAGAGGTCTGATTTCAAAGAATTTTCAGATACCTGAAACACAAAACAAAGTGAGAGACTTCCAGAATTTAATATACTTAAGTCAGATCAACCAAGCTGTTTCTGTGAAAGTGCAAACAGAATTCTATAGACAGTCGATGTCCGAATTGAATGAAATAGGCGAAGGGATGACAATGGGAGCCCTTTATTGGCAATTAAACGATGTTTGGCAAGCTCCATCTTGGTCTTCTATTGGTAATTAAATAAACCGAATTATGTATTTGAATTTAATCCGGTGTCATTCGTCGTTATTGCTTTTTCTTGTTTGATCCTTTCTAGATTTCAATGGACAGTGGAAAATGCTTCATTACTATGCTGTAGACTTTTTCGCTCCTGTTATAGTCACATATTATATTCAAGGGACTGATCTTTCAATTTATGTTGTTTCTGATAAATTAGATACAATAACCAACACCACCCTGGAGGTGAATCTTTATACATTGAATATTATGAAGCCTATACAGTCACGTACTATTTACAATATAAATATAGTAAGTATACATATAATAAAAAGACATTACCAATATATTAACATATATTGTGGAAAACCGAGAAATGCTTCTTTATGGGATATCTATAATTATATGTATATTTTCTTAGAACGCAAATGCAGCGAGTAAAATTCACGATGATGTGTTGAAACATTCGTGGATCTTAAATTCTACATCACTTACCGAATGTCAGTCTGGGGTTACCACAAAAACGAATTGCATTACAACACTTACGTTAAAAGACAAAACTGGATTTCAGATAGCACCCACAAATTATATATATCCTAGCAGTCTACTGAAAACTATTACTCTACCCATTGCTGATATTTCTGTGAGTATAGAATATCAGCAATATATATATATATATGTGTATTTATATGTGAATCTGTAAGTATAAATACATGTTATATGTTATATGTCAATTCAATACGATTCGTTTTAGGTGAAAGTAAATGACGTACCTGGAATGCGTTCAAATTATCTCGACATCGAATGTGAATTAACAACAAACAATATAGCACTTTTTGTACGATTAGAAGCTGGTAATATTTGTGGTCGTTTTTCGGAAAATGGCTTCCATATGTTTCAACGAAGAAAACGTGTAGTTTACTATGCGTGCGAAATGGTTCCACTCGAAATATTCGAACAAGTTCTAAAAGTTACTACGCTCTCCGATATTTATAATCCAAAGTAAAAGAAAACATATGTATACTTTTCTTTTCATTAAATTTACCCGTTTAAGTATTTACTATTCAATAACGAAATACATATTATGTGTTCAACTGTGGAAAATACTTCTCATGATGTAAATAAAGTTCAAACAGAACTAAGATTACGAGTATTATTAAAATTATACATATTATCAAGTATATTCGCCAATTTAACATATTTCGTGAATCTATGAACTTATCGTTCAATTTTTTAAATAATTTGCCAAGTTTATTAATTGTTCGTTAGCTGCATTAAAAATTTTCGTTGGATAAAACTGTAATGCTAATAATACTGAAGTTAGTAAATCATAAAAAATATGGAACTAAAGATTACTTCAGACTATTTTTACTTAGCACAACAATATTTTGTTGTATGTATATATATATATGTATATGTACAGACACACACACCCTATTTTTAATATTACTTTCATATATTTATGTACACACTTTCTATAATTATAAATAGTAAAACATTAACAATGTTACACTTCAGAATAACACAATCTAATTGTTCAATGAACTGTTCTTTTTCTGGGATTTTACGTCTATACACGAACGTAAACTTACGAATATGGAAGAGTAGTTTATTCAACCTGTATAACAATGTACTCCTAACAGGATTTCTAATAAGCGTAAGCTGTGCTTTCATATTATATGTACATTGTAAGTTTCTTAAATAACATTATTAGTAAAGGATTGTTAAAAAAAAATAAAATATAAAAGTGACAAATAACACTTGAACTGGAAACAATTTCCAAGAAAAAACTTCTTTAAAGACTAGAGAAAGATAACACAGTTCGAAAATTGTCTTACTTTCTTCCAAGAGATTCTTGTAACAAGCTTATTGCTTTTTCAATATACTTACTGTATAAATCTTATGATTTTACAAAAAGCTAAGTTTAATGCTTCTTTGCAGTATAAGCTTTGTTTAAGGCATCTGTAAATTGTTATCATTTGGCGTGAGCCATGTTCTTAATAATTCCTCCACAAACTCGAAATTCTCCGCCGTTTTACAAATTGTTTGTTATAAAAATATATGTAGTTTTTACAAACTACATACATACATACATCACCTCACCTATTTACGTTAATCTTTCATTTCAGAATATGTTTGCATAACATTCTCCGAAGGCGAATGAAGATAGCGACGACTTAAATTAATTGCTACCATAATGCAACATAATAGTAAAGGTCCAAAGATTGCACCCTGTACTCCTAAACAGAAGATTCCACCTGCTATCGAGAGACCCGTAAGGTAAGGATGTCCGCCGCTAAAATGAAAATCATTTCGTCGAGTCACTTAAAAAATAGTAAACAATACTTTTAAATAGTTTTATAAAAATTTCTATACCCTTTGATCTCACTGTAGAACTCCGTTACCACGATATTGCAAGGAACAAAGTGGAACATAAAAAATAAGATAGCAACCATAGATCCCCGAGTGAACCAGAGTTCCAAGGTAGCCGGGATGCAAGCGAAATATGCATCCAAGAATGGCACAGCCCCGAGTATCGTTGCAAATGTGGACGGCAAGTAAACAATTTTCACTTGAAACAAATTGTGCACGAACCACGTCCACATACCAAAGAACGATGCAAGCTTGAATGTCGCGGCGAATACTCCAATCACAGCTTCCTGTAAAGCCACAGCAAATCTACAAGAAAAAAAAGAAAAAAAAATAGCGAACAAGACAGTACTCTTTTTTGCTGTATTCATTATTCTTCCAATGATATTATACTTGTATAATTTAACATACCCTTCGACATGCAGAACGCTTGTTAATACGAAAAACAAGAAAAAATTTTTATGTAACAAACATTTTATAAGAATGATAGATCTTATGAAATTCATTTATAAGAAATTCTCAGAGTTACCTGTCGCAACTAATGGGACTAAACGCGGTAGTTAATTCGATGGGTTTGTAAGTCTTGTTGCTAGAACTGAGAAGTTTCTATTTACCATACTAAGAACAAAGTTAAGAACCGCTGATCCACTCATAAGTACGATATAACATAATTCTGTAAAAATTGTCAGTATTACGGACATGTTGCCTTTAACTATACTCCAAATGGAATCTAGAACTGACATGAAAATTCCAATGTTTTCTTTTACAAAATTCTGTATGCTAGTCATATTAAATAGTTCTGTAAAGAGTGAATATATGAAGTACATTAAGAAATGTGTGTATTTGCATTTGTTCGTTTCAAGTAGAGAAACCTTACGTAAGGGTGTCTTTCCATAGCTTTCTGTGAAGCTTTCCCAAACTGAATAGGCTGCTGTAACATCAACACTGGACCCGACTAAATCTGAGTTCTCACTGGACATCACCCAAGCCTGGTAAAGTTTGTCCCAGAGTTCTAAAACTTTTCTCTCCATTTGTTCAGCCTTCACTGGGTCTAAATCCTTTACTAAACCTTTTACCTAAATCATATATTACAAAGTATTACACGGAGAAGTATTAAAAAATCATTGGGATTTATGTCCTTACTCCGTCAGAAATGGCACTTCGCCCGTACGTGTAAGCATTGTCTAGTACACTATTAACTGAATCTTCCCACTGTTCAGGCATCCAATCAATGTCCGGGTTATTTAAAGAAGAATTGAGAATTTCTCCCGTAACTTGGATTAGATGCATTCCTTCTGTGTAAACCTGTGACAAAATCAGATAGCTGTACGAATAGTTGTAAATATTGATCAATCTATATGCCTAATTAATACACTTATTATACCTGTATTGTTATAAAAATAGTTGTGCAAGCAGTAAACACAAGGAGTCCGAAGATCACAGCAGTAGTTGCCACCGCATCAACAGATGCTTTCAATGCTCTTGTTAACTTCTGATCGATTATGATTACAACTTTGTATAAACCTCTAACGTTAGCTGGCAAAAGTGCACAATGTCTCTCTGTGCACCATGCATTTATGACTTTCATAACAATGTTGTATCGATTCCCTATCATTTCCCACAATCCAAAATAATTACCAAGTCGCTTCACAATATAAACAGATGTTGGAACCATCAAAATATATATCATCCACTTGTGTTTCCATAGAAGCATACTAATGCAAGCGTACAATGCACCATACATGTATTTATCTGTATCAACCTCGTCATTCTCACTGTCTATAGATAGTCTTAATTCAGTTTTCAATCTTCGTAAAACATAACGATCACGTACTGGTGTACACCTACTGCTGGATACTTTACTAGTCGGTTGTAGTTTGCTACTTGTTAAGGCAGTACGAGCATCGGCATCCAATGATATTGATTTCCTATACAATTTTATATTGAACCCACTATCTGTTGTTGGGGCAGATAGTGGTCCTATAGTTTCTTGGTCTTCAACCTCTGTGCTATTCTCTATCAACTTGTCGTTCTTTGGCTGAGATAATGGATCCTCCTGAACACTTGCGACTGAGTTATTCGTCAGTGTAAACTGTACTGCTTCAACGAATGTCATGTATTTACCCTGAAACTCTTGATTCTCCATAATGAGTATTACTTCATAAACGAATCCTACCAGGCACAGTAGTTGTAATAAAATAAATACAACAACTTGATAGGCTCCCAATATATTAGAAACATATAGACTTATACAGAACCATATAACAAATGCAGTATAACGAAAATGAATTGAATTGAAAGGCGTCCAGTACACATATAATACGGATAAATATCCGATAAGTAAAATAGAAATCTGTAAAACACAGTAAATACATATATTATTATTACAGGTATACAAGAAGTCATTTAATCAATTTATACGCAAAGCAAACCAGTGATCTTAATAGCTATTTAGTGCAGAAAGAATAAAGGCTGAAAGACTTGTTAAAGTATAACTTTATTTCAAGTGACAGGAAACATTTAAAAAGAATAATAATGGTATGAATTAGATTTGTCTTGTTCAAGATAAATGTCTATTCCACTTGTTGCTTACTATGATCACTGAAAATGATGCATGATGCAGAGATTTAAATATGTAACAATTACCATATAAATGTTACACGTTGTTATGAAAAATCCAAAAATAAAATTAAAGATCATACATATCCTCCATATAAGGCAACTCAATATGTAAGGTGTATAATAATATAAACCAAGAATTGAAGTTCCCAGTAAGAATATACCAGCAATATATTTTATGTGACTCCATAGAAAAGATCCCAAGCTGTCGGAGACTTTGTCCACTATTTGTACAGGTAACAGCGTTAAGTTTATGATCAGCGGAGTATGAGACAGCTCTGTTTTGTCGAACCATGACTGCACAACAGTAGTTAATGAGCATTTGAATGGGAATAAAACAGAACCACATAACAGAGCCCATATTAAGGGTTTCACGAATGGTCTCAATATAATGTACAGTCCGTACCCGGCCGTTGAAATCAGGCACAGGATGAACAATGCCACGGCATTATAAATGCCTTGTTTTAAAGCTTTTTCGTGACCCGCACTGAAGCCTGACAGCATGTTAAAAAGGTTATCCATTGGCGGTCGTATATTGTCCATCGTGTATAAATACGTAATCGGTGACACTTTCGTGCGCTTGCTATTCAATTTTGAATCTTCTCATCACCGCATTGTACCGCTTCGATAAAAAAAATCGTTAAAAAATTGCGTTTTTCTTCGAGAATGTTAGAAAAATCGGAGTTTAAATACCTACTGCTCGGTTCCACGCATGAGTAAAGTAATGCAATTGAGTGCAATGCAGTCTGTATCTTTGTTGATCGTTGTGTATCGTCTGCTGCGAAACCCCATGCCCCATGTTCATGTACATACATATGTAAGTATATACGTACCACTACATATCGCTAAGATGAGAAAGAGCAAAGATAAGGATCCCTTTATTTCAAGAACAGATATACAAAATATTTTTAGTATATTACAGCATGTAATATAATCAGAAAGTACTTTCTTTCGAATATATATATTTATATATATATGTGAAATTTGAATAATTAATGTTTTAATAGTCAAATCATACATATATATCTTTACTTGCTTGTATACATATGCATATATAAGGATCAAGTCACGTGCATAATATACATATGTATTACATTATGTTTACAATGAACGAATCATTATAGTGTAGAAGTAAAACAGAGATCGAATAACACTGAAACTGAATTTTAAAATGAAAACAATTTATTTATCATCGATCCAAAACTATACACCTTAAGTATAGGCGAAGTAGATTCCGATACTTTCGGAAGGCTGATAAAATGACAAAAGTATATTATATAGTACGGCCCCAAAATGTTTTTACACAGTCTTGACCAGTCTTGACCACCTCCGAATTGAATTATACGAAAGCACAAGCATTATCCTATCACGTGTATTATTTTGTTTTCTCTTTTTTTAATTTATAAATTGGCAGATTATCGTAACGTGTATCATAAGACAAAGGCATTTTGTCGCTTTCCATAATGAAAAGTAAAGTGTAAATGCTTATCTCGCATGTAATCTCTATACGATAACTACATATACATATACATATAGTACGCGTCTCTAGCATCGTTCATCGGCTTTCTTTTCATTTTCTTTTTTTTTTTTATTAAAACTTATTTTCAAATTTTCGGTCATTATTATATCATTTCTGACTTCATTGAACTGAATGGATCACCACCGACACATAACGCTTAAAAGTACTCGATTTAGTGGAAAATTCATTGTAATTGTGTGCGCGTGCACGAACATGTTCGTCATGTCCGTATGTATTTAGTTTTGCAAATTATCAGAAATAGACCTACGATCCCTAATCACAGTGTTTCCATCACAATTATGTATTACGTCGATCGTTAGAAATACAAGTTTGAAATATTACGCGATACCGATCAAGCATATACGAGTACTTACTTGGTTCTCTCTGGAAAGATCTATCGAATTTGTTTCGTTTCGTTTTCATAACATTTTTTCGCAGAATGACGTTAAGACACAGAGAATGATCCTCGCCGAATAGGTATACACGATATATATATATATATATATATATATATATTAATTCACTCGAAAGGACTGCCTACACGAGATAACTTAAGGTCAATATAGTCTTGTTTACATACATATACATATGTATTTTTCTCCGATTTCGTACTTATTCCCACCCCCCCCCGCCCTTTTACCGCACCATTTTCCGGCCGCAGCAGAATCCAGCAGAGTTCATTCAAGTCCATTTGTTATTATGGTTTATATTGCAATAAATTTCCCGTCAAATCAAGGCTACAATCTACATACGATTAGTTGTAGAAAACGAAATGAACGATAAACAAAATGAACATATTAAGTAGGTATAATTGCTATGAAGTTACGTTTAAGTCCAAATTAACCTTGACCGGATAAAATGTTTGAGAGATACCTATGCCATTCACGTATGATTAAAAATCACTGGAACACACTACATGCCAAGATTTTTTTTAGTTTTTAAGTATTCTTCCCAGTTCGTATCCTCATCGTGTCAGTTAATTAAGTAACTTTGACGTTCCAAAGAAAGAAGAAGGATCTCACACGAGAATATCGTACAATCTCATAGATATACTTCTTACGTTCGCTGCTCTTGCGCCTCGAGACTTGCAAACATATACATGGTAATTTTTGAATCTCAAACTGGACGAGATGTCATTATATACTTTAGTGCCATTGTCTGACAATAAGCTCATAATTCTGACGAGAACATGCGTCTGCTGGGTTATTAATTGCGTTATGTATATTAAATTCATGTATATCATCATTTGACAGACTCACTAGGCCGTAGAGCTAGGTAAAACAGTATTTCGAATGTCGTGGAAATAACATTTTGAGAAATCTATTTTGTTTGCTAACCACAGCAGAACGTTTCATGTAAGTTTATTAGACATATTATGTTATTTTCAATACCTTCAAAATTATAAACAATTGATGTTCTTACATATATTTAGGATTAAGAGAATAAATTCCTTGGAATATGCATGTGTCACACAACACTATTTTACCGAGCAGCTAGGCTGACTTAGATGCTAGCACGCATTTGTATTACGAACAAACGAATTGTTAAACGAATCGGTAAGATTTCAATTACGTACATATGTATACATACATCTCTTCGAACGTAGTGTCAAAAATGGCGGCAAACTTCTTTATTGTTTATAGTTTATCGAACGAGTTAGTAAAAAAAGAAAATAGAATAAATATAAATTTTTCCTTTAGTAACATTCTAGTACTAATAAATATAATCGGACAGTGCAGATAAATTGATCGCATACCTAAGACTCGTATGGATATGTTTTCAGTTCGTTTTTTTTGTTTCTCACGAGAACATGGTTTTTTTTTTGTTGGTCACTTTTCGCTGAAGTCTTTAAAAATTTCACAACTGTTCATTTGTGATGTGAGATATCTTTATTATTTTTGTTTTCCATTAATACAAAATAGAAATAGAAAGAATTTGGTGAATGCTAATGAACACTATGATTTCTTACTTTTAATCATTGTTATTAAAAAAATATTGCAGTACGATCACTAGCGACGCGAAGGATGCTTGAAGAATTTTAAACTGAACTAAAATCGAATAAGGCTGTCTTCACGCGGGAAAATAAAAATAATTAATAGTACACGATAGATTCATAATTTCGCGACACTTTGGAATTTCTGTAACAGATATGCGAGGTATAATTTGAATAATTAATTAAGACGATTGTGGTTCGTTGTGCGACAGACAAACGAATACGTTCTAAAATGAACGCAAGAAAAAAATAGTTTCGCGATATCAATAGTAAATCTGTCAAATTCGTTACGGCGATTCACTTAAATGAAAGGAAATAAATAAAATAGTATACATACTCTATGCGTGGATCAAACACAAAACAATAAAAGGACGTAATCCTATAATATGTAAAGTACTCTTGGATAGACGTGTGCAATGATCTAAGCGATAAAACTACTAGTTTATAAATTACGTTTGCAAAAACAACATTTAAAAGTACGATGGAAATTATGTTACAATGACATGTCAATGTAGCTTGTTAATTAGAATGTAAATAATATTCAAACGTACAAAGCTTGGAAGTTAATCGAGAGAATATTATTGTTTATACATACTTTACCTTTGAGAATTTAAAGAACCCTGTGACTCAATTATCGGGGCGGGGGGCTCATAATTGAGACGAGTATAGAAAAAAAAAAGAAACGGTTACAGTTTTAACAAAGCTAATTGTACTTTTTAAACTATCTCAAAGCTTTTGCAATTTCTGTTAATGAATACTGGGCGGCTTATATTACCGTACACATGAATAATGTACGGAAAATATTGCTGCCAAGAGATAGCTGATCTCACAGCACTAACGAACGTTTATATTACATAAAATGAAAACTTCTTCGGTCCTGATTCATGATCTGCTTTTATAATAATTTTGGTTTCGTGGTTAGTATAACGTAAGTCGGTAAAAGTATCTTACTCATCTACATTTGGAAAATAAATCGCATTCAATCGATACGTAGAACATATGTATCTCAATTTTATAGAACACAAACACACTAAAAATTTGTTCATCTAGATCCAGAAGACGTACAAACGCAATTCTCGTTCCATTATCTTTAAAAGAACGACAACGGTCACACGTAAACATATTAGTTCTGTATTGTATGGTTCTACGATAAAAGCACCATTCGGAAACATGTACAGAATTAGTTGCTCTTTGTTTGTAATTGCACAATCATTTGCAGATCGACAATGGTCTTTTCAAGCATTTCGAGCCAGGAGACATTGGTCAACGAACATCTTAACTGGCTCGTACAATTGTTGGCTGTCACTGTATCAAATAAATTTGGGGATGTTGTGCTGATACTAGTCGGTATATTTTCTACTTGGCTGTTACTCTTGTGCTTTGATATGGTCTTGTCATCCCCAGATTCAGAGGAGCTCACATCGTTCGCTTCTGTTTTATCCTTTACTTCGGTGTCTATATCAGAAATATTCTTCTGTTCGTTAAGTTCTTTGATTGGTAGATGCAATTCCTTGTCGGTCGTCTCACTGTCTTCGTTAACAGTAAACTTTCGTTTCTTCGAGGGTGCTTCGGTTTCCTGTTGACTCGATTCCTTCACTTTAATGGTTCTGGTTCGAGCCAACAACGTTTCTAGGGCTGGTAACAAGGCAGCCGGTGGTTTCAGTCTTGTACTGCTACTATAGACCAGTGCTAATGCTCTTAAATCTCCGGTTAATCTATGCGCAGACGCTTGAATGTCTACTGCCTCCACCATTGCCACCATAGAACTAACTAAGTTGTCAATAAGTAAACATGTTTGTTCGGTTAAGACATGGTTAGCAAGCTTGGGAAAGAAGGTCTTCAGGAACGCGTGTATTGCTGGTACTCCTAACGACGATCTTTCGTCCAGTAATACAGCATCTACGTAATCAACCGTATAAGAGGAGCAAAGTAGAGATGCGATATGCTTCCTGTCTATGTGTGTAGCAGCATGTACGTCTAACCACAATCGTGGGAATAGCGCCAAGTGTAATGGAACACCTGCAATTGATACGTTTTATTATATATATATATATATTATTTTTCATAATCTATATATACGTGTATTAGGTAGCATGCAAAAAGCCTACCTTCGAATCCCAACATTGCGCTCAAGTTGACTAATGTGTCCGTCATACAATCATTATTGATTGCCAATCTGCACATTACATCGATAAGTTCGTGATACGGTAAATAAAACTCGAGCAAAGCACTGTCGTATTCCGGATCGACTCCTTTTGACGCTTCCAACTGTGAATGCGGTACTGCCATTTGAACCATTGGTCTAGCAGGCCGCGTAGGCATTTTCCCTGGCGGTGTAGACCTTCTTGGAAGATACGGACCAGGTGGAACAGCGGCATGGGACTCTTGAAGAGCTGCGTGGCAGTGAGAGAGCAATGGCGCTAAAATTAATATAGCCTCGGCAGGTACAAGCATGACAAGTTCTTTTAAAAGATCAATAGCAAGGTTTCGCATGTCGGGAGGATTGTACGTGTTCAACAATGTTGCCAGTTTGCGCAAAATGTCTGGCCACTCTTTGCAATTGGCCAATATATTTCTCGCGTCGGGTCCCTCTCTGGCGGTTCTGATGCAACGCACAAGTTCCACGATAATTGCAATCAATTCAGCTAGATCACCGGCCACGTGGCATGCTGTTGCCTCGTGGTACATGATGTGCAACATGTGAAATGCTTCCAGAGCCATACTCAATCCTCCGTTGTACACGACGTACAGGCGATCGTCATCGGTTTCAATGAGGATACTGTGAAATGTAGATAAAGGTAGGTAGATTTTAACGTGTATAACATTGAACTGTTTTAATAGAGGAGTCGATTAAAAATATTCTACCGGAATGCAGAAATCAGTGTAGCCCAACAGGATCGGCCATCTAATCCTTGCAAATACGAAGACAGTGTTCCTCTCCTGAACGATGCTATTTCCGATTCTTCTTGTTCCGTCTGATCGGAATGTCTCGCTACTAATAACTGCATCAATTTAAACAGCTCGTCCACGGCCTGTAACGAGAAAGGAAATTTACATTATAATTTTGTAATGTTTATTCAGCGGTCGGACGTGTATTCTTACAGTTGAGTATTGAGTAGGATGAGGCGTGATATTCTTGAACGCCCATTGGATATTCTGATGTGCGGCCAATTGTCTGGTAAAAGTGCGTGACTGTTGACAGCAAAGTCGTAACAAACCATAATAAGCCGGCAGCATGACTCTGTTAAATAATACTACATCCTGATCCTCATGATCGGCCCTGGAAGAAGCGTAGAACAGTTAGCGCGAAACAACCATAGATAGAACAGCTTACACCATCAAAGACAACGCGAGCTTACAGTATATAATTAAATGCAATGTTTTTAGTTATATGCGGATTATGAAGTATAAGAGCGACATTCTCTGGGCAATCTGAAGAAACGTGGTACCAAAACAACAATACGGCTTGCTTATTATGATGAACCGGAATACTAGGCTCGGAGAGTTTCGGATGAAACAGTGTCCACAAGTCATTCAAATACTGTCCGAACTGAAAGTAAATGTAAACGCCGGTAAAATAAGTTTAACGCCGTTCTATTGTATGTACCATACATATGTATATCGGACACGATAAATTACACGATAATTCCACTTACCATTAATTTCTCCGTCTTGGAGACAACGCAATAGGTGAGCAACGCAAAATAGGCAGTGAGTTTCATTGTACCGTGTGTCTGTATATCGATATAATGTCTCGCCGGTTGCAGTAATCTTAAGAGAGCAGTGTAGATCTGATGCAGTATCAGCGTCGCCTCCGGCGACAGTTGCAATTCCCTGGATGTGTTACAACCTAAACCCAATCTGTGAGCGCTCCGATAGCCTTGTCTAAAGTGTGTCGATGGAACCAACGATACAAGAAGAAACGCGGCCGCGGAACGTACTCTCTGATTCGAGTGTTCCAATAAGAAATGTTGCAACCACGTGTCCAAACCTTGTAGCACCCAGGCGTGAGCGAGTTTGCTCCTCGTGACAGCCAATGCGAGCCATTCCAATGCACCATGAGGCGCTACTCTGGCTGCTTCCCATACACGACCTAAGATCAGTTGCGTCATACACGGTAGACCACTTGGCCCGGAACTTTCCGTCAACAATGTCAGAAGCTTGAAGAACGGCTGGCACACGTCCGTATGTTTCGTTATAGCTTGGAATATCATCGTGATAACATGTATAGCCAATCGGTCGTTCCAACGGCACAACGATTGAATCAAGTTTCTCGTCTGATTCAGGTTAATAACGTCGCGCGTCTGCTGGTACAAAAAGGGAAATCCTTTGCCACCCGCGACAGCGCTGAGATCCGCCGGTGACAAAGCTAACCTGTGATCGGGTCCCCTGCTACGCTCGACCAACGTGGCTATCAAGGTGATCATTTTATCCAATGATGCGGGTCTCAGTTTCTCGGTCGGCATCGCGACAATTTCTTCCTCCTCTTCTTCCTCGCTGACCGCGTCGACGAATTCGTGTGTCTTGTGCCCGAGATAGAAATTCACCATGGTGGATATCGCCTGTACGCGGATCAGGAATAACGTCTCCTCCTCGCCCATTTTACTGAACTCGTATAAAAAACTGAAGTACTCGGTGAGATGTTTGAGATGTTGTTTCGCGTGTTCCATGAGCGACAATAGCATTCTCACGAATCGCGTCACGCACGATCGAGTGCCGACAGTGTTGACGGCGGTCGCAGCGGCGGCGGCGGCGGCGGCGGCGGCGTCGTCGTTCTCATCGTCGCAGAGTAGTAGATACAACGGTGCTTGGGTGGCACGCAATCGTTGTATCACGTGTATGCAAAGCCTCTGGAACATCTGTCTGACCATTTGATTCGGGCACTTGACCAAAATCTGAATCGGCCACCACGAATCGCTGGCCATTCTCTCGAGAAATCTGGCGCATGCACCGGCAGAACTGTTGAACTGTTTCGTCAACAGCTCCACCCATTGTACCATAGTGGGCTTCTCCTTCGCGTGAATGAACGTTTCCATGAAGAACGCCGTTGACAGATCCGCCGACATTTCCGTTATGTCCGGTTGCACGGAGAGCAACGTTTGCGGTATGTAACCGCATATCTGCCACATGAACGTAAAGTACGTATGCTCGAATATATTTTTATCCTGCAAAAAGTGCATATTATCCTGCCATATCCAATCCTCGAGCTCTTTGTTCAGTTCCAACGGCGGCAGTTTATTGTGTGTGGTGTTCTTCTGCGGCAGAAGCGAGGACGGCTGCCGTGCATTCGGACTGGAGACAGTCGCTTCCTCCTCTTTCGCTTGATCACCAGGATCGGCGCACCATTCGTAGAACAGCATGTACGCGGAGTTTGTTTTCTCGAAGCTAAAGTCCATGAATTTGTCGGTAACGGAATCGTATGTTTTACTTGTCATCTCGCCGCCGAAACATTCCGCGGCTATTTGGTTCGGATCGAATGGTTTCACTTCGGCGTCGTTGAACAAGAACCATTTGTCTTTGTTCGGTGATGTGCGATCCCTAATGAAACTGTAATAATGCCCACCGTCAGCTGTGCCGGTATGAACCGTTACACCGATTAAATCGTACTGATAGTATCGCTTGTCCTCCTCTTCGTCGTTATTCTCCATTCCCCCCGTTCGACGATCACCCTCCGATTTCTTCTTTTCCTCCGACGCTTTCTTTTCTTCCTGATAATGCTGCGGCATCAGTTTCTTTTCAACGTACCCGGACATGTCCAGCCGTAACGGAAAGCTAAAATGTGTGTTGACTTTCTCCTTCAACATGGTTCCCATATTGAACGTGTATCGCATCGTATTGAAGCACAATATATGCGGCAATTTCTTGAAGCAGGCTCGCTTCTCCGCCCTTGCTTTCTTGCCGCACTGCGAGCACGTGTACATGTTGTCGCCCTCCAATGTGTCCTTGACCGTGACCTCGTCTAAACTTTCATAAAGATTCCTCATGTCGGCCACCTGACAACGTACAGTGTAAAACTCTTCCAACGTTCTGCTGACGTGTTCGCAGTCCAACGACACGACGTTATTCGATATTACACCGCAAAACAGTGTTTTCACCAAGTTCTTCAAATCCGACGTCATCTCCTCCAGCTTGGACACAAGGTCGATGAAGAACTCGGCCATGTCCTTTTGTTCGCCGGTATTCAAGGGCTCGTGATTCATGGTGTACACTCTGCAGAAACTTCGAGGATTGTACGCTTTCCTTTCGGACTCTAAAAGATAGGCAAACATTCTTTGTAGTTCCCTCAATGTCAGTTGATGCTTGTTCGCACGATTGCAATCGGCGCCCAGTATCGAGACACGTGCCTGTGGCATCATGTACAGATGTTGCATACAGCTGGCCATGTAACAGGTCGCGCCCAAGTTGGTCAGACCGACGTATCCACAGTCGGAACGTCCATCTTCGTGGGGCCAATAGTCCCACGGGTACGGGGAATGCGGACCAGGCTTCTGTTGGGCCAACAGTTTCTCATGGAGGATCCTGTAATTATCAGGAGCGGATTTCACAAGCTCGACCAACAGATCGAACGCCGCCGATCTGGAGACCTGACTCTTACACTTTGGTACGTGTTTCGATTGTGGATTCGGTAGTGCGAATAAAAAATCGAATACCTCGTGTAACAAATCTTGCCCGATTTTTCCTTGTTTACAGGGCGGATTGTGCGTCATAATGTTACACGTGAGATTCAGTAATCCGACCAAACCGTCGTCCTCCACGGTGTTGTGACGAGTTTCAAGGTGTTCTCGATTCAATACACTGTCGATCACTCGTATCGCTAACGCCTCGAGATCTATCATCGTCGTCGCGTTCGAATCGTCCGCGCCCTCTTTGATCGCCTCCTCCGGTAGAGAGTCGACCAAACGACAAACCAGCCAGAAGTAATCTCTGCATGCCGGTCCGTACGGTTCTTTTCCGTCCTCCAATACCGGATGCAAGTGCAACGGTAGATCTGGTTTCCTGTGGGAAGGTTGCATAGCCTCCGCGATCACAATGTGTTCCAATAACGTGTTCAACATCGGTACAATCAGACTGGCGATATCGGAATTCTCGTCGGTCTCGGAGGATCCTCCTGTGCTACCTAAACACAGCCTGTACAACGCTGTGCAAACCTCTCTTCTGACTGCCGGTTCCGGATCCTCCAGAACCAATCTTCGTAGCCAGGTCTTCCCGAACGGTTCCGCCGGCGAGAACAGATACTGCCTGACCGTGTCGTCGCTGTGCACCCAACACACCAATAGCGCCATGGTGTAATGGATAACCTGCGATCTACCGAAAACTCCTGTCTTATAATGATTCGGATCTCTGGGCAGAGATGCTTCGTTCAATATACTCGTGACACGTGCCATAACAGCGTCCACGTTCATCATCGATAGCATCGCCTCGCTGAGCTTCGGTACCAGCAGTTTGTCGGCCTTGTTTCGTTTCTTCTCTTCTTTGACAACGCCCAGATGACAGAGCTGCTTCAGTAAACTGGCGAGACAATCCTGCTGCCATTCGCTGCCGTCACCTTGTTCCAAACATCCGGACATAAAGATATCGAACAAATGCCGCAGACCACCGTGCTGAACGAACAACGTGGACCAACCAACCATCTCTTTGTCCTTCTCTTTCTCCTCGTGATTATTATCGTCCGCGTCACCTCCGCCCTCGTGAGTGCCCGAGGACGGCGTGGAATTCACGGTGGACGGTTGCGGACTCGTTGTCTGACGTCTACTCAAAGACTCGACTATGTACAAAGAGTACATCAACTTCTGGGGGCTGGCGGGATCCAGCAATTCCGGCAGCGTCGTTTCTCCCAACTTCTGGAAACCTCTGAGCAACGTCGGACTGGTCGGCAGCAACGTCAACGTGTCCCACACTCGCCTCGAAAGTACTTGGGCCTTTGTGTGCGGAATCTCCTGTCCACCTTTCACCACCGTTTTCATAGCGCTCAACGTTCTCATCAGCGTGAACAATTGCTCGAAATACTGCGGACGTAACAGCAACAACGTAGGCAACGATTCGCGCGGCGGTGGCGGTAAAAGAGACGGCGAGTCCATGTCTCGTTTGTTGTTACATCGGTTGCCGGCGGCGGCTGCGGCGGCGGCGGCGGCGGCGAACCAATTGCCCGTCCTTGAAACCCATCTCCTGCAATGTTTTTTCGTCGAAATCGATCGTTAACTCCTGACCCTGCGTGATCATTCGGATCGGCCCGTCGGTGAGCAGCGATCCCAATACCGATCCGTTATTCTGGCTCGAGTTCGTCGAACACGATGACTTCTCCTGATTGCTTTGAGTATCGTCCCACCATTTGGCTACTTCCGCTCTCAAGTCGGCAACGTAATCGGTGCTAAGCAGAGTGAAGCTTGTTTTCTCGGGGATACCAGCCGGCTGTACGAATATTCGCAATTGTTGGCCCTTGTCGGAAGTGTTCATCGCCACATGGCTACCAGCGCCTCTACCTTCCAATACCCAACGACGCAAGTGGTACGCGTACCGTTTACGAAACGCCTCCAAGTGTGTCCTCAACAACAGCAGAGCTCTTTGTATGCAACGTAAACTTGCCTCTTCGTTTGTCTCCAAGTCGGCACTAGCCGCGGCAAGGTGGGTCATACACTGCGAGACAAACTCCGCTTCTTGGGTCAATTGTCTGGACATGTAGTAACCGTTCAAGTATTGTATAGCCGCCATACTGACATCCGTGCTTTTCGCTTTCAACGCGATTCTCCACAAAAAATCCATACCAACCGAGTCCACGTCCCTCAACGGCCTGTCCAAATGTGCGGCCGCCAAACGGGCCAGATTGCACAACTGCTGGAAAAGACTGAGCCCGGTCATGCTTATTGTTTCGGCCGGTAAACTCGGTAATTTACGCATACACAAATGTTTCAGCGTGTCCATTCCAAGGGCGTGCTGTTCCGTTGACTTTGCCTGACTGAGCAACCAGCTGAACAGCTCGTCGGCACACGTCGGATCCTGCGACAAGCATTGCCACAATATGTCGACCTGTTCGAGACTCAGGCGAAAACAGTCAGGCGAGCCCAACGGTGAGAATATCGAGGATAGAAACTGTAGCCTAACTTGGATTTCCGTTTGATGAGGATACAGACTATTTTTCGATCCCGTCCCAGTGTACGTTTTCAGATTATTAAAAAAGTGTTTCATCATTCCGCGTTCACGATCAGCCCATGTCGTTATCGTGTGCGCGTCCATTGCTCCGAATTGCTGGAAACTGGCCAGTAATTTCGGTAATAATCTTAAAGACACGACGACCGAACGATTGCTTGCTAGATTTTCCAGGCAGCCCTCTATAAATTTCATCGGTATAAGTCGATCAACGTTAAAACAAAGAAGATTACACAATGCCTTTTCGGCCTCTAATGCCAAACCTTCTCCCAACTGACCGATTTTCTCGTCTTGCAAAAGGTCCCACAACAACGTGTTTCCAGATTTGCACACGTTATCCAAATTGAACTGAGAACTGAGACGTGTTGACACTGTTTGACGAACACTTCGTACCTGCGGGGGACGGCAAACCGAACGTCTGATCGTCATTGTCGGATGCGAATGATGCGGATGATAAGCTTGCATTTGTATAGCCGTTAAATGACGTGCCGCCAATTGAGCTAATTCCTCCTCGCAACCGCTTTCCTCTCCGTCAAAGTCGGCCATGTTTTTCTCGCTTTTGTTCGATATTCTGCTACTGTACGATCCTTCCTCGTCGGACAGCATTTCATCCAACCCCGAGGGTAGAAACGTTGGTCCTGTCGCGTGTACCAGACCAGCAAGCTCGGATATAACGGCGCTGGGACCATCCGCCGCAGCGAGAACTCCAGCCACGTCGCTATCGTCTTCGTCGTGCGAAGTATCCGCAGAGTCTGGAGCCCGATCTACGTTATGCCCTACCAACGACATATACTTGTTCTTATTCGCTCGTCTCAATAATGCTGCCGTCGTTGGAACCTGTTGATCGTTCGGATCCAAAGCCATTGCCTGCTGCTTCACGCGATCCAACGCGTCAACGACACCTTTCGGATCGTCCAAAGAAACCACCAATCCACCAGTGTCCAATGAACTGTTTAAGCTGTCCTCTGCCCTACTACCCTTCATCTCGATCATTAAATCTTTCCTTTTCATATCACTCTCTTGGCCGACAATGTCATCGAATGTTTTATCTACAGCGACCAAAGAACGTTTCTGCGGCTTCTTTCTTTTCCTCAACACCTTCCTCTTTTTCTTCTCGATCGCGACCGTTTCCTCCGCGTTCGATTTCTCCGTATCCGCCTCTACGTCCGAACCACTCTGTTTTTCTTTTATGTCATCCTGTATCGCGCACACGGAATCTTTCACCGATTCCGCATTACACTCGGATTTTTCCAACGCCGAACAACCATCCGTTTCGGTTAAGTTTGCCTGTACAACTGCTGTCCCCATAGTTTTCCCTTTGAAAGGACCTGTTAATATTTACGTATACATGTAGATGTACATATACATACACATGTACATATTATTCTGTGTGTATATATATATATATATATATATATATATAGACATTTATACATTTAACAATCAAACGATAATACGTTCATCCATATAACGTACCTTCTCCGTCGCTGCTGTCACCTCTTGCCTGTTTCCTTGGTGAAGGTCCTTCGGATGGGGCCGGACTAGGTTCCTCGTCCTCGTCCGGACTGCTTCCATCCATTCCACTGGGATCGCTGGTACTACTACCACCGACACCGCTGGTTCCTCTTAAAATTTCTCTATTTTTTATAGTCAAACCCCTTGGATAACCCGAACCGCCCGTTGTCCAAATAAACTTGATCAAAGCAGACGCTAGGAATAAACTTTGTTCTGTGTGGTCCTTCGGTTCTAGTTTTCCTAATAACGAGTACAAATGTAGAACCGGAGTCGGAGCCAGATGCTTTACTAAGGGTGCCAACAAATCATATACTGGCCGTCCACAGTGCTTTAATTGTGCAGCTTGCCACATGGTATCCATGTCCGAGGATGCTATCCTGCCCTCCATGGCTAAGAAACTTAATACAATGTGACTCTGTTTAATAACTTCTACGTGCAAATTTGGTCCAAATATATGAGCTATTATATTGTTCTCTGTCAACCAAGCTGCCAACGCGTGACCCACTTGCTCCACTTCGGCGATCGTCTCGCTGTTGCAAAGTTCATTGAACGCGGTGATATGAGCATTTATCTGAGCTATTCCTGCTAGTCTCATGGTTAAAGTTGTACTAGTAAAATATTTGAATGCCAGGTCCAATCCATCCCGATCGAAACTTGGTAATACAGCATCGATGGGATCTTTCACGGCGCTCCACATGAAATCTAAATTATCAACGATTACAAGTTTACCACAAGGAAACATATGCATGCAGACTTATTTATTTATTATTGCTGATATTTTATCAATTTCAACATTTACCAGCCATCGTTCTCACTGCGGGTGTGCGTAATTCTTTGTCTCCTAAACGACACATATATTTCATAACACGGCTACGTAATGGTATAAACAGCTGAATGACGCTACCGTAATTCAACCAAAGTTTCAAGTTACAAATCACTGCAACCATGGAGTGTGCTAGACTAACAGCTAATGTATTCTCCATATCAAAACAAGCAGACATTAGATTAAAACCACCTTGATGGCAAAATATGGAAACTGCTCTAATTAAAGGTGCTGGTACTTCCGGGTCGTGAGGCTCGCAATATCCACCTTCATCCTTGAAAAAAAAAAAAAGAAACAAATAAATAAATAAATAAATAAATAAACAAATAAGAAAGAACGTTTAACTTTGTAATAAAAACAAAAGTGATCGTTCAGCTAATACTAATAATTGGTGAATAGAGTTACTTTTATGGGAGCTAAAGGATTAATTGCACCACCATGTTTCATTGCGATATAAAGAGGAAAATTTAATAAAAATATTTTCGAAAGGAGATGGAACAATTTTTCTCTATCCTGTTGAGACCAATTCTTTTTTGTCTCCGTTTGTGCAAAGTCTGAATCCTCTGCTTTTCCTTCATCTTCAGTTTTCTCCTCTTCTTCCTTCTCATCTTTGGACAATGCTTTTTCAACATCCGTATCTTGTCCATTCTGTTGTATAATTTGCAATTGTTGCAATGTACATAACACAACGCTCTGCGTTAATCGGATAAACCGATCAAAATTTTTTATCTCTCTATAACAGCACATACATTGCCTAAAACAATACAAGCAAAAAGAGGTCTTCCAAAGTCAGACACAATACAGAATATTGCTACTGAAAACTTTTATAAATTTATAATTCATTTGTACAATGAAAATGGAACCAGACCTTTGTACCCATTGATTAACATAATGCAGTGTTGTGTCCACATCGGAAATACAAAGAGTGGCCAATCCATCCTGTTCTTTCGAAGATCTTTCGTCATCTGAATGCAAATTATATACATATATACATAAAAGAAAAAAGTATACATTCATAAGTAAATAATGCATAGAAAGAAACTTAAAACTTCTTATAATAAACTCAATTAATTGTATGACACTTATTTAAGTATTATTTAATTTACTCTTTTTTTTCCCATGTAACATTTCAGTACACAGTGCAAATTACTTTAGCATGTCGTACAATTTTAATATTTACGACTCTTTAAAAAAAAGTATAACAACATATTACTGAATCCTCGACGTTTAAACGTAGAAATACATTCTCATGCATCGATTAATGCAACAAGCCAGAGGACTGCACACAAGCGAGATAAGGTTATACAGTAAAACGTTATTAACGAAATTTTACAACGGAGAAACAACGCACAAGACGCAATTCAATGCTTCTTTATACAACGCAATAACCTCGGGTTGTTAACGCGATACAGCCGAATCAACGTCGCAAGAGTTGAGCAACATGCAACGGAACACAATAGGTTAACATGGAAGATATTGTATACCATTTTACTTACAGGAGAGCAGAAGGTCGTGAAAGTCAACACACACATCGCACATGTTTTCCTCTCGTTAGCCCCCGAAAGGCTTTTTAATTATGTCAAGTTCATCACTCAACTTCACCACCTTCCATCCCAAAAGTTGCTAATATTATTAAACATTTGTATTCTTGATTATCCTCAACAGTTGATTAATTCGTTAGTCACCATATTGCTTTTTTACGCAGCTGCATTCACTTGCCGCTTACTTCAGATGAACAACGCTGAACACCTTTCCATTACTAAGAATTTCGTCCCGCCTACATAAAAGAGATCTAATAATGACGCAAATTACAAACACAATTATCTCAATGTACGAGCAGTATCATCCGAATGATGTTCCAAAAATATGCAATTTTCTGTTTATCAATATGAATGTCATTATGACAGAAGACAGCTGATCGCCGCCATATTTTATCGAAATAATACGGTATTTAAAATATTCGTAAAAGCTCTTTAAACGGTTATAATAGAATGAAGAGAACAGAAGCGTATGTACAATGTAAAAACAGCATAATCAAAGTTTTATCTTATTACTATAATTTAAGAAGAATATAATTCGTCCGATTTCTATATTCCTATAGGTATACATGTACATTAAATTCCCTCTCCAATTCTCGTTCTCCTTGATTGATGTTTAAAAATGTGCACCTGCATAAACATCCGTGATCTCAATAATGATTATTATTTTGGTATATATATATATATGTTTGTAAAATTAAGAATAAAATATACGCACTATTATACTCATGCAAAGTATTCAAATACACTTGATATACATGCGCGCATATACATATATTATATTATAGGATCATTTTGAGAATAGTAGTATAATATAAAAAATATATGTAACTGCTATTAAAATTCTAGTTTGAAAGCAATATTTTATCTTTTTATAGAATAAACAGATTATAAACAAAAATTTTGTATTAAAAAATTAATATATTATATTATATGTTACTCTTTATTTCAATTACTCGCGATAGTTTTTCCGTCTATTTTTCATCTCTGAATGAATTTCTTTTCACGCGTTAAGAAGGTCTTTTTATCCGATCCGTGTATACATCGAAATTATATTAAAAAAAAATTAAAGTGTCCGGATACTTTTGAGTGGTGGTGTATGTGTGCGGTGTACGGTCCTGACAAGAATAGTGGAGCCCAATGCTGGTAGCGCCAGTTATTCAGAACTATGATAAACAAACTTAATCTTGAAGGAAGAACAAGCAGAAATTATTGTGTTGAAACTAGTGTGTTGAATCACGGGGTGTCGATTAGTGTCATATCAAAAGGGATAAAGTTGAAGATATAATCAAAATGGGTAGCACGGATAGAGCCGTGATTACAGGATTTATATGCAGACTTTGTAGTAAGATGAACCGTTTCGTGATCCATATATACGGTCAAGAGGGTGAAAGAATGAAGCTCGCCGAGAAAATAAATGCTTATCTTCCAATTACGGTAAATTTATTGTTTACTTTTATATATCTCAATATCGACCTCGTCAATATTGTTCTTAATTACACATTCGTTCCCGAAGTTACTGTACACGACTTGTTAACATTTCATCTTGTTCAAGTTATATTCACTGTTTTCGTTTTTCTTTAGTATTTCTACTCTTGTATAATGACTGTAAATTCTGATCTATCATTCGACAGTGGTGCTTGTACATATAATACAATAACGAAACATATTACAATGATAATAATTGTATTTACTTATGAAACCTTATATACAATTTTTATTAAATTAATTCACAGACAAAAAGTTAACTACTATTTCTGTTAACTTCCTGTATTTGTTTTTTTCCATAATTTTTTTTAAAACAAACTTTGTTTGAAAACTATAAATACTATTGTACGTTGTATTATGATACTGTTAATCGGTAGATTTCTATTTAGTTTAAATACATAAAATTTTGCCCTTTTATCACACAGGTGAACGTGAATGATCCATTACCAAAAACAGCATGTCTACATTGTATTGAACGCATAGAAGCTCATCATGAATTAATGGAGCAATTGATGTTCGCTAAACGAAGGTTAACTACTGAGAATAAGTCATCGACAGTAGCATCATCATCTGCACAAACTGTTGATACTGCACCAACATCTAGCCCACCCCCATGTTGACATATAGAATTCAAAGCAGATTTTTTAACTCTGTATTATTGAACATTTTGTATGTATATTATTTGGCTCATTACTTTAGTAACTTATTCATAGAAATCAATGAAATTATCGAAAGAACGCGATTTATTTGATAATCTTTCAAATTATCAGATTAATTTATTTGTCTTAAATCTTAGTATTTTTTTTTATTTTTTTTATACTTTGTTAGAGCCAATCATTAACACGATAATCTTTTAAAGTGTTAAGATTTTTTTTCCATAAAACACAATGAATTGTTCATGAGAAACATAAAATGTCAGATCTATTTTTCTCGTGATTGATAATGAACTGTAATGAAGTTAATGTTCATAACGCTTTAGACGCGAATACATTTGGGAATGCGCAATAACGTTAGGATAATTGGATTTATATTTTATTTTATGTATTCTATATTATTTTCATTATAAAATATTTTCCGACATTTTTTAATTACCCACGATACTATTGTACCTTCGATACATCCGTATTAATGGTGTACAAAGATGAATAAAGTAGATAGGTGTAAACAAGTAATTTTCTTAGAATATTAGATAACACTGTATGAAGTAATTCAATATAGAATCAGGAAAACAAGGTTTTAGTTAACAATATTTTTACCAGCAGTGTGTATCAAATACACAGAATCGCCAATATTACTGTATGTTGTTCATGTTCTACTTCATAATTCAGTATCAATAGTTAAAATTTCATTATTCTACATATATATATAAAATTTCAATTAATTATAGTACTTTACACATTATTGCCACGTTCCCGACATAAAAACATCTATCGTGACATGAGGGTAAATGATGTTATTATAATTTGTTAAGATAAGATTTATTTCTTAACAATATTCGCTAACACAATTAAATGTTATGTGGAACAATATTACTGGTTGGCGACACAATCCACATTGTGCTTATTATACGTATTATCTTATATGTAATTCATGATTTACAGAGAGAAAATTTGTTTTATGAAGGTCAAGGATGTGTTCATCGCTCAAACATTATTGTATCTTTTCAGAGACTTTAATATAATCCATGAAGTATTACTTTCACTAACTGAAGTATACTGTGGTGTATCTCATTTTTAAGTGAAGACAATATAAGCTTGTAAGTGTCTGTCATTGAAAACATACATAATAATGTATTCGTGTGTAGAACCAATACTGTAACATCAATTAGAAACATCAGTATCATTAGAGGTTTTTACATAGTATCTAAATGTAGAATACAAAAAAAAAATGAACTACAGTAATAAATAAGACTGTGTAACATATTTATCATTCTGTTTAATTGAAATGTGACACGTGTACGTAAAATATTTTGCAAAATGTAACTAAAACATTGTAATACTTTTTCTATTAAGAGCCATGAAAAAAACTATTATCATTACAAAAGTCTCCAATGATCAAAGAAGTAATTTATATGCTTCTGCTGCAATTTCATCACTACACTACGTTAAAATAGAATCAAATGTGAATAGAATCATAACAATTGTCATTTAATTATCTTTCTTTATATGGGATTTATTAGATTCACTTTTCAATGTACTATTTCACCAAATTCGTAACATTTACTACAATATGTGTCGACACACATCCTTTGAACTTCTTAAAACAAACATATAGAATGTGGCTACTGCAAGACTTTCTGAAACCATTATACAGTAATATGCGCAGCTACATCCGTGTGCGATGAACAACTACTAAAACCTGGTTTATGAGTGTTCTCAACACACACCACACATAGTAGGTAGACACACACGAACACGCGCGCGCGCAGTGTAAAATATGTACAAACATTGATGGAGCCCAACTCTTAATTTTTTCCTTTCTCTTTCCCCCAATCAGCGCGTGTAACCATGTTGTACGATATCATAAAGCACACGTCCACGACTGATTCCCTTATAAAAAATATATATATAATATATACATATATGTATGTGTATATATATATATATATATA